CCACCAGTTTTGAAGTTTTTACAAATTAAATGAAGTCTGAGATTTGCTTTAAAATGAGTCATTCATAGGAGGGTGCGGGGGTGATAGATGACGCACGTAGGACCACTGATCACGGCTGGAGCCGGACCACATGCAGATGCGGGGGGGCGGGGGGGGAGGGTCCATCACCGTCTTTACTTATGTGCATGCTTCGAAACGTCCAAAATAAAAAGTTTTTAAAAGAGTATTTGATTTCAATGACTTCTTTTTTTAATTTGGAAAAACCACCTGGATTTCTCGCTTGCTCCAACCTGTCACAAATTCTTCCCTTGAGGTTTCACTTGTCACTTTTATCATGAGCTGTGTCAATACAAGCTGGCCGAGGAGCACTGCGTGCTAACAGGCTTGGCTAAATCCTGAGGCGGCTGCTGAGGGAGGCCTCCACTGGTATCGTGGATCTCGCGACTTTGGTTATGGGAACCGAGATTATACTGAACATTAACAGATTTAATTATTGTATTATTTATTTTTACCTTCTTTTTAACTATTGTATTATTTTGTATTATTTGTATTAATAATACAATATTATATTAATCGTATTACTTTTTAATTATTGTAGTATTATATTATTTAATTATAGTTTTTAATTATTGTATTATTTATTATTACCTACTTTTGCCCACCCCTGTATTTATACTTTTTTTTCCCTATTCTGAGGTATTCCATTTTGTTTGGACTTTTTTTTAATCCTCACTCTAGGACATGCTTTTTGATTTTAGAAAGAGAGGGAGGGGAGAGAGAGAGAGAGAACCATCGATGTGACAGAGAACCATTGATTGCTTGCTTCCCGTATGTGTCCCGAGTGGGGAACCCACACACTTTTTGGTACACAGGATGATGCTCTAACCAACTGAGCCACCCAGACAGGGTTGTTTTGATTTTTAAAATTTACCCAATTTCAGACATACTTTTTCTCATGTGAAATAACAATGCATATTCTTTGGTTAACATACCGTAGTCTGTCAAACCATTCAAGAAAAGTAGTTAGCCCTAACCAGCATGGCTCAGTTGGTTGGGCATTGTCCAGCAAACCTAAAGGTCACTGGTTCAATTCCTATTCAGGGTACATGCCTGGCTTGCAGGTTTGGTCCCTGGTTAGGGCGCATATGAGAGGCAACCAACTGATGTTTCTCTCTCACTTTGACGCTTTTCTCCCTGTCTTTCTCCCTCACTTTCCCTTTCTCTAAAAAGTAAATAGCTTACAAAAAAGAAAAGTATTTTTAAAAATAGGACAGCATCTCATTCTTTGATCCATTGGAATGAATTAATTTAATTCGCATTCTGAAGGCCTCTTCCATCTCTAAGTTCTTTCGTATTATGACAAAGCCATAGTTCTAGAAGCTTGACTCTCACACCTGGAAAGACTAGATTTGGGATATGATCCTGTGGAACATAAGAGGTAAGCCTGGCAAATCTGAACACAGGGGGTCTGGATGGCAAAAAAGAGGTTGAGCGTTCATGGGTGGTGCTGATGATGGACTTAGGAGAGGACCACTCACGTGAGCACAGTTAGTAGTGTGTTGGTAAATGTTTAACATTTGGGGGAGGGGAGTCCTAAGTTGTAGCAGTTGCCTATTTCCATGGTGTAAATACTCCCATCCCATCCAATTTCAAGGTGCACAATTGGCTCTCGTAGGTTGTATGAGCCACCTCCTGTTTGGCTAAATGTGTTTTCCAAGTTAGGTCATAACCCATTGGTGGGACTTGCCAACATTTTTGTGGGTTATAAGCAGCATCTTTTAAATGAAAAGTTAGAAGGCTTCATGCATAATGAGTATTGCTTTGCAAAATTTTGGTTTCTGTAATTTTAAGTATGTGTGTAACAAGTCACAGTGTAAATGTAGTCCTTCTTGTGGCTTGGAAAAAAGTCTAAAAGGTACCACTGTGGTATCTTCTGTCTTTAAAATAAGCACAAATAAAAATAAAAGAAAATCAAAATCTTCTCTTTACCCCACTGTTTCCTTGGCTTCCGTGCTCTGTTCCTTTTCAGAGCAAAACTTCTTGAAACATTTAATCATTATTTCCATCACTTCACCTCTCAACCCACCGTCATCTGTCACAAACGACCTCCATGTTTCTAGGTCTCTTGGTTGCCTCTGTGTTCCTTGACCTCTCGGCAGCATTTGGCATAATTGGCTGTTCTTCCTCCAGACTTTCTTGGGCTTCTGTGTCATCACTTACAGCAGGTCTTCATGGCTGCCCCTCCTCAGTCTGTTATTGGTTTTTCTCTTCTTGACTTATGTCCTGTGTCAGTTGTCCATCTAGCTACTCTCCTAGGAATTTGACCTCATCAAATTCCATGACTTCATCTCATACCATTTTCTCCTTGTCTACTATGCTCAGTCACGCTGCTGGCCTCTCTTCCCGAGGGCACTAAATGCGCTCTCAGGAGTCTCAGGTTCCTCAGCCTGGAAGTCTCCTCCCCAAGATCGTCATTAGCTTCCTTTCTTTCACTCACCAGCAACTTAAATGTCAGCTCTTTTGAGAGGTTCTCCCTGGCATCCTACTAAAGTAGCCACTCAAGTGCTCACAATTCCATCATTCTATCTTAACCTTCTCCAGACACGTTGCTGTCTGCATCTTCTGGTGGCACACGAGCTCCATCAAGGCAAGAACTATTAAAAGTCCCCGGTCTCCTGGAGCTTATACTCTGGTGGGTGAAGTCGAATAAAATGAAAAGGTAAATTATGTAGCATATTAGAATATGACAAGTGCTCTGAAAAATAGAGCAAGGAAGAATAATAGGGATTGTGTGTGTGTGTTAAAACTCTCTTCAGGAGAGTTTTAAAGCAATTTTAATTCTGGTGGTCAGGAAGCACCTCAGAGGACTGATATTTGGGTAGATGTGAAGACGGCAAAGGATCAGATGCAAAGGTTCTGAGGTACAAGGCCAGTGTGGTTGTCTCAGAATGAGGGAGGAGGAATGCAGTAGGAAATGAAGTCTGAGCGTTGGGGGCGGGGGACAGGGGCAGACCAGCAAGTGCTTGCAAGAACTTAGATCTTTACTTGAAGGATGAGCAAAAGCTAAGGGAAGGTTTTAGCAGAGGAGTAACATTGTATGGATTATGCTTTGTTATCATGTCTCTCTGGCTGCTGGTTGAGAACAGATTGTAGGGGGGCAAGGGCAAAAGCAGGGAGACCAATTAGGAGGTGCTCGCAATAATCCGAGGAAGTGACGTGGGACTTCCAAATATTTACGTCTCTTCTCTGCATCTGGAAGCATCCGTGAGGCAAGTACAGTCTTCCCCCCTTACTTGTGGTTTCGTTGTCTGCTGTCGACTGTGGTCTGCAAATAGTAAATAGAAAATCCTAGAAATATGATTGATGAATTTTAAATTGCATGATGTTCTGAGGAGTGCTGGAAGGTATCCACAAAGCCTGTTGTATACTCACAATCCTGATCACTGGGCCTTGTTGTGGCGGATATTCAGTATGTATGTATTGATTTTAAGTTATATAAAAAACATACTGAGCTCATTAAACAAAACAGGGACCCCATAAGGGGGTTATTTTTAAAAGAATAAGTTCTTGGGATTTGTGCATCTTTTAATCAGGAATTACTTCACCTATACTGGATTTCTGGCTCTTTCACTCAGATCCATTTGCACCTAAGTCCTATCTACCAAAGAAATAGAACATCGATGTGTATTTGTTTCAACCTAGTTTGTAAAGGAGAGGTGCTAAACCCAGGCAAAGTTGCGAAGAGATTCAATGGCTCAGTAACCTAATACTTCCAGTGCCTAGGAATCCCCACTAGGCACTATTCCTCATACTAGACTAAAGTGGTCTTCTCAATTTGCAATGGAGTCGGACAGACAGAACACGACCCACGGAAAGACGAGTCCACGTCCAAGGCAGTGTGTGTCAAGGGCTAACACAGCAATTTAAGTTGGATCCTGGTAGTGAATCCAAACTTGTAAAGAGAATGGAAGGGAAAGAGAAAAGTAAATGAATCACACCTGAGTTCACTGGTGTGGGATGTGTAATGAATCCGCCAATTTAAATTTTAAAACAATGAAAACAAAAGCTACAGAGCAGAGAAGGCTGTAGCAGTGACACCGAAACGTGTCTGTCTCAGCAAACGTGGAAAAAAATAGTAGCGACAGGCAGGAACAGAAAATGAGCTGCGAGCCCAGCCACCACGACGGCCCACATGACCGTGTGTCTCTGAAGCCTTCCCAGCAGCAGGCCGGTCAGGCTCGCAGTCATGTGGTCCACTCATGCTCCGTGCGTCTCCCGCAGACGTGCACAGTTTAGCAAACACCTGCCATTCAATGAGACGATGTGGACGGGCTCAGGGCTGGGCACAATCCAGGACACTGGAGCCAGCCCCCGACCTCCCATTTCACTGACGCCCAGAGAAGTGGCACAAGGGGGCACCTCCAGTCGGGTTTCCCTTGACCGCAGAACTTGGACTCCGATCCCAGGGAGACGAGGAAGCGACCCCCGAGAAACACCGGTGACCTGCGCGCCCAGGGAAGGCCAGAGACGAGCCTGGAGTCCAGCGGGGCCTGGGTGGTGTGCACCCCGGCCCTAAGAGCCCTCCCTTCGAGACTGGAGGCCGGCGACACGTAGCGGATGGGACACGCTGGACTGGGAGCCGAAGACTTGTCCTTTTCTCCCCACATTTCCCTCCCCTCGCCCCAGCCCGACGACTGGGCAGAGGCGGCCAGCTCTGGCCCGGGATTTTTTAAAACAGTCTTCCCTCGTTCCAGCCGTCCGGCACCGAGTCAGTTGCAGCCCAGAGGCTGTGCGGGAGGCGGGGCTGGGTGGCGGCAGCCGGGAGGCGGACGCGGACTAGTGGCCAACCGCGACGTCCCTAGCGCGAAGTCGGACACGGTCAGCGGACTGACCGCTCTCGCGTCCCGTAGCCGCGCGCGGGCGCCGAGCCGCAGCTGGACGGAGCGCCGCGGCAGATAAAACCCTTTGCGTGAGCGCCTGGGACGCCTGCCCGGGTGAGTCGGGGGCGCCAGGGAGCCGCGGCGGTGGGCGCGCCGGCTGCCGAGGGGCTGCGGCAGTCACTGTCCTAGGTCGGAGTTGATGGCTGGGCCCATCTCCCGTCAGCCCGCCCGGTGTGGTGCGGGGCTCCTGTCGCAGGCCGGCGATCTGGGGTGGCTTACTCCCCCGCCGCTTAAATGACAGGGTCTTAAGTTTAGTGACAGACCCCGCGGGTCCCCGGGTTCGCTCTGAACGCGCCCTGTGAGAAGCCGAGTCGCTGGACTGCCTGTCAAACTTTAGGAAACGCAGGTTTTCCGAAAGGCGCCGATGCTCCTAGAAAGGTAACACTGGCTCCCTGCCCCGGCGGCCGGCGTTGCTGACACTCGGGGAGCGACGGGCTCCAGAAGCCTCGGGGCTGGGCACGGAGTGGCCCTGGCTTCTCTGCGTCCTAGTCTGTCTCCTACGTGTGGGTAAAGACAGGCCTGCGCTAAACCAGGAGGATTGCAGTTTTCTCACCCGGGACCGAGTGCCGGCTGCGTCTGCGCATGCTCCATGCGGCGTGGGCGCCGCGGGCGGAAGTCAGCTGGCGAGCTGGAGTTTCGTTTTTCTTCTAGCTGTTAGGTCATCGTCTTCCCTGGCACTGTGAACCGTCCCCACGCATCCTTTTTTTAACATTATATTTGAGCTACGGCATCAGGTTAGTTTCAGGTGTGCGGCACAGAGACTCCTCACCTTTTTACCTTACGAAGAGATCACTGCGGTAGGTCTGTCCATTGGTTATTGCGGTGTTATTGATTGTGTTCCCTTTGCTGTTACCTCCCGTGGCTTATTTACAACTAGAAGGTTGTCTTTAAAACTGTGGTTGATGCTCCCTCACCACACACATCTTTTATTTCTTTTTGCCACAGGAAAAACTCTTATATTTAATATTCGAGGCAGGATTTTTTCCCCTCTGACTTGTTTAAATTCGGAGGAGGAGAAGGATCAACCTTTTCTGTTAATCATAATAGCTAAAACTTACAAAGCACTTGCTCTGTCATGTTTTATTAATTCATTTAATTCTCAGAACAGACCTGTGAGGTGAGTGCTGTTATTCTCATTTTACTGATGAGAAAGTTTGTACAGGAGTATTTGCTACTATTTTATTATAGTATTTTAATAATAAATTTCATGTTAGAAACTTTCCAGTGATGTCATTTTAAACCAACATTTCCTGCATTAATAATACAACACTAGTTTATAAGCATAGTACGTAAGAATTGGGGTCACATCTTTGATTGCAATAGCATCTTGCTATTTGGTAAATGTCAGTAAAATAATTTATAATCATTTAAATTTAAGAGTAGTAATGATGTGAAGAAAAGTGACACATTTTCTTTCCCTCTGTTTTGATTTCACACAGGGCAGCTGCCTGAGTTTCGATCTGGGAAGCCTTTCAATGAAACTTGCTTAAAGTCTGAGATCGTACACAGCAGAGAGACCCCCCGTCAGCAGCACAGCAGAAAAGAAGGATGTTGTCCTTAAACAACCTGCAGAATGTCATCACTAACCCGGTAACTGGTTTCTCCGAAGTCACTTTTTACTTTGGCAGGATTGACAGCAAATCCAGTTGGATAGTAATGATCTGTTGCTGGGGGAGGGGGTCAAGCATAAAACTCAGTGAACAGGTCACAGTCCCTCAGGGACTGTGACAACCGATGCAGCCCTTGAAGCTGCCCAGTTGGGGGCTGGATCCCATTGCCCCACAGTGGTGGGAACGAGGACAGTGGAGGGCATGCCAGCGGTGGTGGCAGGAGGGTGCAGATAACCATAAGACATCATTTTAAAAAGAAAATGGACTTCTTACTCTACATGCTTTAAATTTTCTTTTTCCATTAGACCTGTTTATGAGAAGTTAATGTCTCAGTTTTTAACCCCTCTGCCTTTCAAATGCTGCTTGTCCCTTGAGCAGGGAAATGTCAGAACCTAGTGGTGAGATGAAAATGAAAAAAATTAAGGGTCTTGTCCCAGCCTGAGGCTGGTCCAAGAATCCCTGAATGACGGTGATTGCTCAAAGTTTCAGTGTACCCCCGAGAAGTGATGAATTTTTAAGTAGGGATGCAGTTTCCATGTATCTGGAACTGAATCCTGAATTTAGGTCTGAGGTAGAGTTGCTGCTTTTTTTGTAAACACTCCCCACTCTGCCAAGAGACTCTTAGGCAATAGGGAGGGTGAGGGTCCTAAACCAGTCTTAGTGTAAGTGGGTTCAGTTTTTTTGTTACTTATTTTGTAACTGTAACTCTTTTCCTCCTAAGTTTTAATGTCAGTGTGCAAGAATAAGGTGTGACCACCATGTTAAGCAAACTCAGCTTTGGAGGACATAGCCTTCAGTAGTACTAGATTTAAAAAAGATTTCCCGAATTTGAAGTCAGAGATACTTAAATTGATTTTGTGTGTCTTAGAGTTAAAAGCATCTCAAAGCTATAGACTGACTTTCTGCAGAGATTTTAAAAAAAGATAGGCTGCCTGCCAAGGATGACTGAAGTGTAACCTTGACTGGAGCCAGGAGGCATGGGCCATCCGGTCACTCTGGTCAGTGCTGGCCCTCATGCACAAAGATGCCTGATTGTAATGGTGTTTGGAAAATCATTTTCTAGGTTAAAAATCCCTGCATATCTGGACACTGTATATCTTAATGATTCCTGTGATTTCTGGGGTTAGCACCCTAAGCTGATGAAGGGGGCCCGAAGCCACGCTGCTTTAGAGCAGGAAGTGTGCTACAGGCTCCCAGAGGACCTCACTCTGTTCCGTGGTTACTTCATGGTAACAAGTTTACAAAGTAAACACTTTTTGGCCCTTTAAGTTTCTCTGTTTTGTAGTCAGTTCTCACAAGTAGAAAAGGGTAGGTAAAGAGACTGACCTGAATGGCAAAAATAACACTGGGATGTCTTTAAATTTCCCTCACTGTTAAACACTCACCACACTGAGTCCCTGTATTGCGTGTCAGCTCTCCTACCATGTGTAGCTAGTGTTTGAAAGCCCAGGGGAAAAAAGAGGCCACAGATAACTTCAGTATTATAAGCTAATCAATTAGGAAATTGTACAAGCTGGGAAGTTTTGACAGAGAACACCAAACCTAACTAGGGCTTAAGCTTATGGTATTGTCTCTAGTGTGATCATATCTCTCTTAATTTTTTTACACAAGTAATTCCTTGTGAAACCGAAAGTATCAAAGCTTGCATTTGCCTAGAAAACAGTTTCTTTTTCCCTTTCGACGCCCACAGGCACACAGGAGCAGACACCTGTGAGTTAAGTGAGTGGGCCGCAGGGCATTTTGACGCACTCTCATGGTCCCAGAAAGCTGAGTCTTACTGATGTGATTTAGGGCACTTTACCAAGCAGAAAGCATTAACCCAGACAACTAAAACAGAAAATGGCCAGAGTTTTCAACACAGCTGTTTCTCAGACTGGAACAATTTATTAACAATTGTGAACAACTTATTAGCAGTGATGGTCTCAAAAGGCTCTTTGCAGCCCTAAAATTAAATACATGGTAAAAACACCTGTGGTTATAAAAATGTAAATGTGTATTATAGAAATTATTTCTGGTTTATTTCTTTACAGTGTTTTCTTTTTAATGTTTATTATAACTTAAGATAATATTTAAGATTACAATGTGTATAGTTTTGTAGGCTACTTTCTTACTGATACTTGTATCACAAATATTTTTGTGTTGTTGAATACTCTGCATACATGTAATTAGAACATACATTAAAGTTGAAGTTACGAAAATTATTCTCATTTTATGAAGATTGATTTACCCTGTTGAAGATGCTGCTACCTAATCTTGGCATTGGCTGTGGTCCAAAAGATCAGCGTGGAGGCGTGACTCCTTCGCATTGTCTGCACACAAAACCTGACCACTCCGCTGTGTGTCTGCAGCCACACTCTGTGCATCTGTTGAGCAGAGAGAGATTCCTGGTGGCGTGGGCTCTGTTCATGCCACCCAGCCAGCCCTCAGCAGTTACGACTCCAGATGGTGACTGGTCTGGGGGATTCTTGTTGCTGAAGGCAGCAACACTTGCTGTGCAGCGGCCGCTTCGTCGCAGCTCATCTGCTTGCCAGAGGCTGGCCACAGCCATTTCCAGGTGGCAAGAGCTCATTCATTCACCATGCAATGGCTGATCATCTCCGGACCTTGTCCTGGGGATGTGAAGGTGCTGCCCCCTGCGGCACAGAGGTGTGGACCACAGAAAGCGCGCAGTGTGCTTTGCTGGCTCTCAGAGGGGCTCACTCAGGGGGCCCAGGGAAACTGAGACAGGATCCACAAGGAGTGTCCTTGAGCCGAGAGCCACCCATTGACAACAGGCCCCTGTGTTTTATTTATGTCTTGACAACCAGCACTGCCTCGGATAAATTGCAGCATGTATGACATATTTGGGAGAGCCCGGCATGCGGCATGCTGGTGTCTGGCCAGGTGCTCCCAAGTGGAAGAGGGGAGGTTGTGAGGCAGGAGATGCAGCCGCATAGCACGGGTCCCCAGCCAGTGCGGTCACCTGAGGGGAAGGGGAGTGATAAGGTCTGAGTGTGTCAGGCTCCAGGTGGAAAGGCTGGGTTCCAGCTGTTGAGGGGACAGGTTGAAACCCGAGTGCTGTGTGGTGATGCCAGTTGGAGCCCTGGAGCCCAAACCCGCAGATGGACCAGGCGAGGGTCAGTGGACGCTGTGCTATGAGAGGCCCACAGGCACCCAGAGCTCACCCCTCAGATGCAGTGTGGTGTGGGTTGCGGTCAGGAAGCCCAGTGTGGCCGGGGCCTCCCCAGGCGGTGAGCGTCCTCCCCCCGTCGGTGCTGGCTCGGTGCCGGCATGGGGCTGTGCAGAGTCTTGATCCTGCTGTTGTGAGGAACACTTGGGTGGGGAGAGGTGATGTTGCCATGAATTGTTTTTTCTATTATCAGGATAATTCTGTTAAGTGGAAGTTTTATTTCACAAAATCCCTAGCCAAATACAAAATATCATGAACAGTATTTATCTTGTGTCTTCCCACATAACTCAGTTTGTAGGTATTGTGTAGCTGTGTGAATAGTGAGGACACCTTGGAAGGTGCTGGGTTGAGCAGGTTTCTGTGATAAAAATGCAGTGCTTAAAAACAATAGTCTCAATTTTATGTAAAAGTACATTTGTTAAATTTATTTTTCCTAGGTAATCCCCTATGTTGGGACCATTTCTGAGCAGTTGGAGCCTGGAACTTTGGTTGTAATACGTGGGCATGTTCCTGGTGATTCAGACAGGTAAAATTGTTGTGTTAGGCGAAAAAGACCGTGAATAAACTGTCTCTCTGTGGCTGTGGGACAATAACAAAAACTAGTGTGGGAGGGACATTTTGGTATTTGAAGCCTGATTTTGCTTTTGTCAGCTTCGTGGCCCAGGTGCTGAGATTGGAATGAGTGACTGAAGTAAATGTTATTTGGGTTTTTATTTTATTGCTATAAGTCTGACCTCATTATAAAGAATTGGGTCTACAAAGGCCTGTCCAGAAGGTATCCAGCCATGTAAATATGAAAAACAGAGACATTTATTGAAGAAGATGCAAGAAACTTTGTACATAGGACAATGATACCTCAGTCCCCTTCAAAGTAGGCCTCTTTTGCGGCCTCACACAATTCTCCCAGTCACCATCAGCTGCCCCGTCGTATTTTCCTGAATCTCATCAACGATGTTAAATCTATTCCCTTTCAAAGGTGATTTTATTTTCGGGAAAAGCCAGAAGTCGCAGGGTGCAAAATCTGGGCTGTAGGGGACTGAGTCACCTGGGTGATTTGATGTTTTGCCAAAAAACTCTGCACGAGATGTGATGCATGAGCAGGCATGTTGTCGTGATGAAGTTGCCAATCACTAGTTGCCCACAGCTGCGGCCTTCTGGATCATCCAAATAGTTTCTATGGAGCAATGTTCAAGCTTAATGCAAAGTTTGATGCAGATTCATTGCTGTACTTGCTCAGTCATGTTGAATGCGATGGACACACAGCACATATGCTCACTCTACAGTGTCCACTGCCCCCGCTGACTAGTACAGTGAAGTTGTCACTGTTCACACCAGTTCATTCCGGCCCACTCTCCCTGGCTGCCAGGTTACAGTGATGTTGTGCAAACTATTCTCATTATATTAACAATGGCTGGACTTTTTCTGGACAGGCGTCGTGTATTAATGAGGGGAACTGTGATCAGATGACAGGGACAAAATCCAGTTACAGGGTCACACTCCCACAGCATTTCTCTCTCTCACCTGAGGATATGTTTATTGATTTTAGAGAGAGAGGAAGGGAGGGAGGAAGATACAGACAGGCAGGCAGACATCGATGTGAGAGAGAAACATTGATCTGTTGGCTCCCATACATGCCTCAACCTGCGATTGAACATGCAGCCTATGTATATGTCCTGACTGGGGATCGAACCCACAACCTTTTGGTGTGTGAGATGATGCTACAACCAGCTGAGCCACCTGGCCAGGGCTTGCACAGCACCTCTTAAGGTCTGTTTTGGGGTGGTATGCGTCCTTGGCTACTAACTGTGGACAAGGCCATACTGTTACGGTTGGGCTCAGGTCAGCATGGCCGCTGCCCACACAATAGTGGTTTAAACGAGATATGAAAGTCAAGTCTAAAGGAGACAGTGCAGGCATTTTAAGGCAACTCCATCAAGTCTTAGAGAAGCAGGTGGCTTCTGGCTGTCTGCTCTGCTGTGCCAGGGTGAGATCCTCTTTCCCTTGATTCTTGGCACGGTAACGGCAGCTGGGTGGGCTGTTTGGGGGTGGGGCAGGGGCAGGGGGTGGACAGAAGACAGAAGCCACCTCACTTACAGCAGCTCCCAGCCATTTCCCTAAACACTTGCCTTCCACCTCAGCAGAGCTTTACCCCATGAGCATGCCTGCCTGCAAGGGAGGCTGGAGAATGGAGGCTCCTTCTGCCCAGATGGGGCCCCAGCTACAGCTCAGGGGCCTGTTCTTAAGGAGGAGGCCAAGGAAGGGTATTCAGGCTACAAGGGTGAAAGAGCAGAGGGTCAGCCATACGTTACTCAGCCTGGGTTTTCGTGCTTTTGGGCCCTCCCTGCAGCCTCCCTCTCCGAGCCTTCAGGCGGCCGTGTTTCTTTCCTCTCACAGATTCCAGGTGGACTTCCAGAGCGGCAGCAGTGTGAAACCCCGAGCTGACGTGGTCTTCCACTTCAATCCACGTTTCAAAAGGTCCAACTGCATCGTGTGCAATACTCTGAAAAACGAAAAGTGGGGGAGGGAAGAGATCACCTACGACATGCCTTTCACAAAAGAAAAGTCTTTTGAAATTGTGATTATGGTGCTGAAAGACAAATTCCAGGTAGGCTTTGGAGACTGAAAGTTGAATCCTCATTGATGGGAATCTGTGCACAGGAAGCTTGTTCACGGCAGTGAGAACTCTTCCTCACGTTTCTTCCAGAGAGTTTGGCTTTATAGTTTTTCTCTAACATAGGGGCCAGGCAGGTCCCTGCAGGTGAGGTGGGTGCTATTTCTCCTAGCAGGGCCGAGCTCGGTTCTGAATTGGCACAGCACCATGCTAATATGAGGTAGTAAATCAGAACGACCATGACCCAAAGTTTGGGGGACCTGGACTAACGGAGAGGTGGGGAACCTGAGTGAGAAATCAGAGTCCAGTGTGAGGCTAGGTCCTGTCACAAGAGGGCTCTTTGGGATCATGGCATTTTAGACCCAGAGATCTCCAAAATCCTGTGTGTAGTTTTCCACATGCATTTCACACCTGGGGTGTGTGTGTGTGTGTGTGTGTGTGTGGTGTAGAATTGGGCCCCAGTGGCTCTTCCCCTGCTTGCTCTTCGAGAGAAGATGCTCCCTTGCCTGGTGCAGGTCCTTCCTGGCCTCCAGGATGCCGCTCCCACCAGAACATTGCCCCTCAACCCCCTGAACTTCATCACCCCTTCCTTCTCTGGCCTTTTGAGTATTTTTTCCTGTACTGTTGTGCTTTGGTTTTTTCCTGTGTTTATTTTGCCTGCCCCTGGCATTTGAGCTCCTGTAGCGTAAAGACCCTGCTGTGTTCTGCCTGTTTTCCCGACATTCTGCAACACAGCACCTGGTGTTTGGGAGGGAGGGAAAGGAGCTGCGTGTGCTGGACACCTGCTCTGTGTCAGGCCACACTGGGACTAAGCAGTGGCCTCGTCTCCTCGCAACAGCAGTCCTTTGAGTGACAGCGTTTTCCTGCCCCCAAACAGCAATCTCAGAGAAGTTGGGGAATTTGTCCACGTTCATTCACTCAGCAAGTGCAGCAAATACAGGCTGAGCGCCTGCCCACATGGTGGTCCCTTGGGGAGCAGCAAGCTTGCAGAGCAGATCTCTCCTGGGCTCAGAGTCCATCAGGGTGTCGGGAGCCTCTGAACCCCAGGATGTCTCCTATTTCTGTCCAGATGCAAGCATGCGTATGCACACGTGTGCATGCATGCACGATTGGTCTGGAGGTGAGGAAGTCAAAAGAAAATAAATGCCGTTGGTTCGTGATGCTTTCAGTCCCCGTCTGGTCAGACACATAAAGTGGAGCCCTGTGGGAAAAGGGATAAGATGACACCCAAGTAGACAGATTCCAGTTGGGGTAAATTAATGAAATTAATTTATTACCTCTTTTCTGGGGGGCTGTTTTCTGTGTCCATCTAGGTGGCTGTAAATGGAAAACATACACTGCTCTATGCCCACAGGATTAGCCCAGAGAAAATAGACACTCTGGGCATTTACGGCACAGTGAATATTCACTCAGTTGGTTTCAGCTTCAGCTCGGTGAGTGCCCTTCCCTCCTTCCATAGGGTGGGGCCTTCTTCGATGATTTCTGATGACATGGGAGTAAGTATCTTTACTTAATATCTCTTAAGATAAAGTAAATATCTCTTTCATAAAGTAAATCTTTCAGACTACTAGGATTCTGTTTTTTTCTGTGAACTTACTTTGTGTGAATGTCATTTGGGAAATTGACCTGCCGCTCTGTGAGGCCTATTTTTAAAAATAGTTTTCAGTTCTATAACCCAATCTTGCTTTCTTTACCACTTGTAAAAATTATTTTATTTTTTATTCCCATCCCCCTACCCACCTCCCCTTTGGCTTGCTCTCTCTATGGGTCTGTTTCTGTTGTGTATTCTTTATTCATTTGTTTTATTTTTAGATTCCACATGTAAGTGAAATTGTACAATATTTGTCTTTGTCTGACTTACTTCACTCAGCATAATGCCCTCTAGATCCATCCATATTGTCACAAATGGTGAGATTTTTTTTTTATGTCTGAATAATACTGTGTCATATATATGTACTGTTTTTTCTTCATCCATTCATCTATCCACAGACACCTAGGTTGCTTCCTTATCATGGCTGTTGTAATTAATGCTTCAATGAACATTTGGGGTGGATATAACTTTTTGAACTAGTGTTTCGGGTTTCCTCAGATAAATACCCAGAACTGGAATTGCTGGGGCATGTGGTAGCTTTATGTTTAATTTTTGAAGACTCTACATGCTATTTTCCATGGTGGCTGACAAATTTACAATCCCACCAACCGTACACCAGGGTTCCCTTTTCTCCACATCCTCGACAGCACTTGAATTTGTGGATTTACTGATGATAGTCATTCTGACAGATGTGAGGTGGTATCTCATTGTGGTTTTAATTTGCAGTTCCCTGAGGATTAGTGATGTAGATAGAGCATCTCTTCACATGTCTGGTCCTCCGTATGTCCTCTTTGGAGAAATATCTATTCAGGTTTTCTACTCATTTTTTGGTTGGATTGTTTGTTTTTTTGCATGGAATATCTTTTTCCATCCCTTCACTTTCAGCCTGTGTGTGTCTTTCAATCTGAAATGAGTCTCTTGTAAGTGGTGTATAGATGGGTCATGTTTTTAAATCTGTTCAGCCACCCTTTGACTTCTGAATGGAGCATTTAGTCCATTTACATGTCAAGTAATTATTGATAATTACTTTTTGCCCTTTTGTTCATTGTTTCGTGGTTGTTTCTATAGTTATCCTCTGTTATTTTTTTTTCCTTTTTAGTCTCCTCTTATGTGGTTTGCTGTTTTTCTCTAGTGTTTTGTTTGGGTCTTTTCTCTTAATTCTTTTATGTCTTAAGTAGGTTTTCATTTTTGTTTACCATGAGGTTTATGTATGTCATTCTATACCTACAGCAGTCTACTTTAATCTGATAGGCATTTACGTTCTAATATATTCTGTAAGGACTACCTTGTTACTCTCTGCCCCACACTTTATGTTATTGATGTCATGTTTTAGATCTTTCTATGTTGTGTATCTCCTAGTAATTGTAGTTTGAGTTGAGTTTGATACTTTTTTCTTTTGGCCTTCATAGTAGCTCCTTAAATGTCTAATTCACTGTGTTTATTAAATAATTGGCTTTATCTGTGAGATTTTTTTCCTTTCTCATTTCTGGTTATGGCATTTCTTTTTTTGCTTAAAGGAGACACTTGAACATTTCTTGTAAAGCTGATTTAATGGGGATGAAGTTCTTTAGTGTTTGCTTGTTCTGGAAACTCTTTTTACTCCTTCAGCTCTGAATGTTAACCTCACTGGGGAAAGGCCGTAGGTGCCTCTCTTTCAGCGCTTTAAGGATGTCCGGCCACTCCCTTCTGGTCTGTAAAGTTGCTGCTGAGAAATTGGGTCTTAGCATCAGCTCTTACGGGGTTTCCTTTACATGGAACTCATTGTTTACCCCTTGTTTCCTTCAAGATTGTGTCATTATCTTTGACTTTTGCCATTTTAACTATAACCTGTCCTGATGTGGGTTTCTTTGGGTTCGTCATGTTTGTGATTCTCTGTGCTTCCTGGACCTGGATGTCTGTTTCCTTACCTGGGTGAGTCAAGTTTTTAGTCATTGTTTCTCTAAATAAACTCTCTCTTCCTTCCACTCTTTCATCTCCTTCTGGAAGCCCCCCTACAATGCAAATATTTGAACAATTGATGTTATCCCAGAAGTTCCTTAAACCATGCTTATTTTTTTTTTTAATTTTTTCTTTTTGTTGTCCTGATTGATTGATTTCCACTTGTCTGTCTTCCAGGTTGCTGATCCATTCCTCTCCATTAGCTGATCTACTGTTGGTTCCTTCTAATGTGTTTTTTTTTAATATATTTTACTTATTGTACTTCTCAGCTATGCTTGGTTCTTTATTATAGTTTCTAACTCATTTAGAAACTATAATACTTGTTGAGACTATTTAGAACTTGTTCAGACTATTTAGAAACTATTTAGAACTTGTTGAAGTTCTCCCTCAGTCCCTCTATTCCACTCTCAAGATTGGGGATAATTCTTATGACTGTTTCTTTGAAAATATCCTTAGGGTGTTTTTCTGGAGGATTTTCTTGTTCCTTCATTTGAGAGATATTCTTCTGTCTTTTCTTTTTGTTTGACTTTCTACATGGGTTTATATGAATTAGACAAAATACCTCTCTCTTCCAGTCTTGAAGGAGTGGCCTCATGTAGATGCGGCCTCCATGTGCAGGCTGTGTGTGCCGGGTGGATGGGCAGGTCAGAGCTGGGTGGCTGTCTTGTGTGTCAGGGCACTGATCTTTGGAGCGGGAGTGGCTCCAGGCAGTGAGGCCGGGTGAGCGTTGTCATGCCCTTTGGTCCTGCTCGCCCCCTTTGTTCAGGGCAGATGGGGCTCAGGTGACGTGTCTAGGAAAGAGCTGCAGTGATCTTGCAGGTGGAGCATCTGGATAGAGCCCCTGTCCATCCTGTGGAGGTGGACAGGGACACAGTGGCACTTTGGGGCACCTCTCACCTTGGAGATTTCACATAGTCCTGGAGAGTTCCCATGGTTCCTCAGATGCCTCTCTCCACAGACTCTTGTTAGTTGTACAGAACGTGGTCTTGTATAGCAGTGACCTCTCTGTGGCCTTTGTGTGCCAGGTAGTTTTAGAAGCTGGTTTGTGCCAATTAGTTGCTTATCTGCACCTGACTGGCTGGGTTGGAATGGTTCTCAGCAGAAAGGCCAGGTATATGTGTGGCACCCTGCCGTGCCTGCTTGCTCCTTTTGTTCGGGGTTAAGGCTTGCGGCCTCAGTAGATGGGAATTTGCCGTAGTGCTCCCACAGGTCGGCCAAAGCATCCCAATACAGCTGTCGCCCTACCACTATGGAGGGGACATAAACAATGGACTCATGGGCTCCTCTAGAACAGAGTCCCTGCAGCTCCTGGAGGGCACCGCTGTCTCCCAGCCTTTCTATTCGCTGTCCCTTTCTCTTCTCTGTTCAGAAGCTGTTCGTTCTGTCCCCAGTTGTCTCATAGGAGTCACTGCTTTCCATGTACGTATATATTTGAGTTTGCTTATGGGAGGTGGCAAGTTCAGCATCCTCCTATATCAGTACATAGCATCTGGACCGCCTGGTGCTATTTATCGACCAGGGCTGTATTGTCTGTAGAATCTCAAGTCTAATATGGTTCTAGCAAAAAAATCCAAACAGACTTCTGGCCAAGATGGAGGTGTAGGTAGATGCACTTTGCTTCCTTGCACAACAAAAAGAAGGACAACAACAAATTAAAGAACAAAAAAACAACCAGAACTGCCAGAAGATCAAACTGTATGGAAGTCCAACAACCGAGCAGTTAAGGAAGAAACATTCATCCAGACTGGTAGCAGGGCAGAGAGGGCAGCCAGGACAGAGAGGACATGTGGCAAGGCAGCAGACTGGGCAGGTGAGGTGGCAGCTGGTAGACTGGGTGGACCTATGTTCATGTGCTAATAAGCTGGTAGGAACAATTGGGGAGTGAGGCAGACAGTGCAACCCAGGGTTCCAGTGTGGGAAACTAAAGCCTCACAACCTCCTGCTGTAAAACTGGGCGGGGAGGTTGTGGTGGTGGGAGAAACTCCCAGCCTCACAGGGGAGTTTGTTGGAGCGACCCATGGGGTCCTGGTTCCTAGAATGTACACAAGCCCACCCACCCAGGAATCAGCACCAGAAGGGCTCAATTTGCTTGTGGGTAGCAGGGGAAGTGACTGGAAGTGGGGCGAGAGCCGAGCAAGTGGCATTGTGCCCTCTATGACCCTTCCCCACATACAGCACCACAGCGCAGCAAAGTGGGTTGCCCTGCCCTGGCGGATACCTAAGGCTCTGCCTCTTACTATGTAACAGGTGTGCTGAGACAAAGAAACATGGCCCAAATGAAAGAACAGATTAAAAGTCCAGAAAGAGAACTAAGCAATGAAGAGATAGACAACCTATCCAATGCAAAGTTCAAAACACCGGTAATCAGGATGCTCACAGAAATGACTAAATATGGACACAGAATAGAGGAAGAAGGGAAGGCTATGGAAGGTGAAATTGAGAAAAATATACAGGGAACCAACAATGAAAGGAGGGAAACTGGGACTCAAACCAATGATTTGGAGCAGAAGGAAGGAATAAACATTCAACAGGAACAGAATAAAGAAACAAGAATTAAAAAATAAGAGAGGCTTAGGAACCTCTGGGACAACTTTAAATGGTCCCACATTCAAATCGTAGAGGTGTCAGAAGGAGAAGAAGAAGAGCAAGAAAGGGAAAACTTACTTGAAAAAATAATGAAAAAGAACTTCCCTACTCTAGTAAAGGAAATAGACTTCTAGGAAGTCTAGGAAGCTCAGAGAGTCCCAAAGAAATTGGACCCAAGGAGGAACACACCAAGGCACATCATAATTAAATTACCCAAGATTAAAGAGAAGGAGAGAATCTCAAAAGCAGCAAGAGAAAAGGAGACAGTTATCTACAAAGGAGTTCCCATTAGACTCTTCAACTGATTTCTCAAAAGAAACCTTACAGGCAAGAAGGGGCTGGAAAGAAGTATGTCATGAAAGGTCATGAAAGGCAAGGACCTACATCCAAGATTGCTCTCTCCAGCAAAACTATCAGAAGAATGGAAGGGCAAAATAAAGTGCTTCCTAGAGAAGGTCAAGTTAAGGGAGTTCATCATCACCAAACCCTTATTATATGAAATGTTAAAGGGACTTATCTAAGGAAAAGAAGATGATAAAAAATATGAACAGTACAATGACAACGAACTCACAACTGTCAACAACTGAACCTAAAACAAACAAAAAACAAAAACAAACTAAGCAAACTAGTAGAACAGGAACAGAATTGAAATGGAGATCACATGGAGGGTTATCAGCGGGAAGGGGAGGGGCGGAACGGGGGAGAAGGTACAGGGAATAAGAAACATAAATGGCAGGTGCAAAATAGACAGGGAGAAGGTAAGAATGGTGTAGGAAATGAAGAGGCCTAAGAACTTACATGTATGACCCATGGACATGTACTAACGGGGGGTGGGGAAGGAGATCTGGTGGCAAGGGTGTGCAGAGTGGGGGGCGGATAAAGGGGAGAAAAAATGGGACAATTGTAATAGTGTAATCAGTAAAATATACTTAAAAGAATCCCAAACAGTAAGAACAAAAAAAAACCAAACCTTTTTAGCTAGGTGGGGGTTACGTCCTTGACATAGGCGTACCTAGAGGTGGAATGTGAGCCGGGGGTAACTGCATTTTAAGTTACGATTGATAACCGCTGACTTGCCCTCCAGAAAGATTAAAAGAGTTTGCACTCTCAACAGCTGTGCCTACTTGCTCACATTCTTCTTGACATTAGTTCCTAGTCTCTTTAATGAAATATGTTAAGTGCTATTTTGGATCATAATTTTCAAGCATATTTTTATGTTTAGTACCATTTATTCTTTTTGATATTTGAAGCAGGTTGTATTGGGAATTCTGATGGATATTAAAATTAATCTTATCCTTTCTTCAGGATTTAAGAAGTAGCCCAGCACCAACTCTGGAACTGACAGAGATACGTCCAGAAAATGTAAATATTTAGTCTTCTTATGAACCACCAGTTTAAAAATATTCATTTAGTTGCCATGTCAATCAGGTGGCAGGCAGGCTGAGTTTTTTATAATTGCGTTCTTGGTATGAAAAATTGTTTTTAATAGTAATAGGCTGGAAGTAATCATTTGAAAACTGAGGCCACTTTGGTGCTGCCAGGCACCGTAGGTTTTTCTGATACTTAAGCTGCAGTGTATCTGACCGCCACCTACCAGTCAGTGCAGAAAGAGCTCTTCTGAGGTGGAATAGCACTGATGCAAGGTGCTGAACACTGTCAGTGCGTTAGGGAGGGAGCCTCCACATGTCTCTTCTCCCCTTCAGGAAAAAGTTCAGTGAAAACATTGAGTTTTTGCCTCTGTTAAAGGAACAGGTGCGGTCTTACTGAGTGCAGCACATTTGCACCTCTTAAGAGTATAATCTCAGCATTTGGAAAGCACCCTGGAAAGAGCAAGTAAAATGTGTTTGAAGCTCCTCTGAAACATTATTAGAGTTTCAGTGGAAGAGACAGGGCTCGGGCTGCACTTGCAGCCTGAGTAGCCCTCAGCAACTCTCCACCGTGCCATCATGGAGCTCTGGTGCCCAGGTCACCCCCAGGGCAGAGCAGGCGAGTCTCCCCAGGCTGTGGCCTGGGTCAGTATAGCCAGTAAGTCCAGCTGGCTACTCACTGGACTTACTGGCTATACTGACCCAGTATATATACAGCTCTTCCCTTTCAGATGCCCTCATTTTGTCTTTCTCTTCTAACAGGTACAAAATGCTGGCATGTCACAATTTGTAAGTATTTTTGCCTACATTATAATATGTGGAACATTTTATAAACTGGCCCAGGAAGTGAATAGTTTAAATGTTGGAAGACAGCTTCATTCCTTCCGTGCCTTACTGCAGAACTGTTTCCCCGCAGCCTAGTAATAGAGGAGACACTGGTAAAATCGTACCCAGAACTGTCTGCACCAAGAGCAGGGATTCGACTGCCAATCACACTTTGACTTGCGCCAAAATACTACCTATCAACTCTTTGTCAAAGGTTTGCGGAGCCCAAAATTATCTTAATTCTATATGACAAGTTTAATTTGCTGGTAAATTTTACCTCTACCCTCAGTAGAAGCTCACAGCACCACCTCCCATTTTCTTGCTGTCCCTGAACAATTAATTATCAGTCGTCCAGGCTTTGTCTAGGAGCCATGAATGTGTTTTTTCCTAACTCCTTCCCTTCAGGCGGAACAGGAGCAGTGCTTCAGCCCGCAAGCACAGATCTTTTCAGAGTTTCACTCACGTGAAGGGTGTGAGGTCCCACTCCACCTCCACTCATTTCACTGCTATGAGCCAGGCACGGTTTTTACTGATGGGGACCCATCTCGGACCAAGGCAGACACAAGCAGTCCCTTCATGGGGTTCAGAGTCACGGCCTTTAAACATTCCCCAGTGTTTGGACAGCTTTCCCACAAGATCCCATTCTGCAGGCTTCCGAGGACCAACTTTCCTTTCTTTTCAGACTCTGCCATTCGTGGCGAGGTTGAACTCCTCCATGGGCCCTGGGCGGACTGTCGTCATTAAAGGAGAAGTGAATGCAAAAGCCAAAAGGTTGGTGTCACCGAGTTCACAGTAACAGTATGAATTCTGTGTGTTTCTCTTCTTGCCTACACCCCACAACAGTCTTGTGAGATACAGTAGGGCTAGCGCCACAATCCTTATCTGAAAGGGGAGAGTATTAGCGCGAAAGGAAGTCAGACTGCTAACAACTAGTTGGTGGCAGAACCAGGATGAAATTCTAATGTTCTGACCCAGGCTTTATGTGCCCAAGCAAAGGCTGGCGTTTTTGCCCACGAGGTCCCTTCTTGCCTTGTAGAACTTCAGGGCAGCCCTGTGAGTTCTCCTAACTGTTGTTAGGGCCCCTCTTGTCATGGGACTTATAACATTTCTGCTTTAAAAAGCATCTTGAGAGATGTTCAGACTTCTGAAAGCTTGAGAGTAGAGGTATTTCCTAGAAAGAAGTCACTTCCAAGGGCAGAACACATGTAAACCTCAGAAGAGAATCCCTTCTTGAAAGGCCCTCACACTCATGCAGCCTGAAGAGGTCACTTGGTTTATTCTTCTAACCTTTCAGTTTCCCCCCAGCCAGACTTGTACCTTCAACATTGATTTCAGTTTCTTAAAATTTTTATTTTGCAAATGACATACTTCTATTTATGAAGTGGTAAGTTGGAATTTAAAGTTTCGTTTCCCTGTGTTCCTCTGTGCATGTGCGTTACTTACATTTTCTGTAGGTGTAATCAGAGCTCAGTTCTGATTGTCAAAATTTCAGAAAGTGCACTCTTTACTATTTGAATGTTTTTCTTTTTCTCTTAAAAGCTTCAATGTTGATCTAATATCAGGAAAATCAAAGGATATCGCTCTCCACTTGAACCCACGCCTGAATATTAAAGCTTTTGTAAGAAATTCTTTTCTTCAGGACTCCTGGGGAGAGGAAGAGAGAAATATTACCTGTTTTCCCTTTAGTACTGGGATGTACTTTGAGGTAAGATTATATTTTTTGAAAATGGGATAGGAAAAATCATCCTGGGAGCAAGGGTATGATAAATGGTCCATGCAAATCGAGTCCTCCTGTGGAGATTTGTGTGTGTGTGTTTGTGTTTTGTTTGCTTATTTTGAGATTGTATTTTGAATGCCCCCTTTATCATATTGTGCAAATGGCAGAGCCAGTAGAGGACCACAGTATTTGCCTGAATTATTTGATATTTGTTGTTATAGACAAAACCTGTTGTTTAATAGGAATTGTAACAGGAGCCTCATCTCAACTGGAGTAATATGTTTGAAAGCCAGTGAGCACGAGGACATAGGAACCCTAACGCCACCTGCACTGCTGCCGTCCATGCTGGTTACGCACAGCCGTGGGTGGCAGTCCTTTCGGCCAAGGACTTAGTCCTGTTCGTGTGCATTCAAGAAAAGCTACTTCAGGCCATTGGAACTTGCAGGCAGATAGTCTCGAGTACCCAAGTATGTGAATATTATGAAAGCACAACTTGCCCAAAATGTTTCTGGAATGTTGAACGTGTAGATGCTGAGTCATTGGCTAGATTCACCCATTACTTAGGTGACTCACTGCCTCACATGGCATTTTAGGGTCATTGATTTAGGCGGTTTTTATATCTTAAAAAGTCTTAGGCTCTGGACCATTTGAGTTATTGAGGAATCATCAAAACTAATTTTTAAAAGCATAAACATCAAGGCTGAGTAGAAGATGGCAATTTGACATTAATATGTATTCCTTAGTTGTAATCTAGTGCATTGTATGTGGAAAAACAGGTGTGAGCTAATCATAGAAGTTGAGGATATAGGTTTGGAATTGAGGAGGATGTGGAAGGTTGAAGGTCAGGTTGGGTTTTCCAGATTTAGGGGATGATTTGAATGAGTCACTGGAGGAGAGAAGGGTGGCGTAGGATTTGTCTACTTGGCAGGAGAGAGAGAGGGGTGAATGCCGCAGAAGGAAGTAAATCCTTGTGGTTGGTGGTAGGAAACTAGTGACATAACTTGTTTTTTGACCTATTGAGCCCCCAAGTTTTGGATTACTGTAATAAAATGTAAAAGGACAGTGATAATAAATTCTTTTAAATAATCATCTTGTCCTTTGGTTAGTGTTCTACTTCAGACACAGTTGTCCTCGTGTTGGATCGTTTTTGTCAATTTTCTGTAGTGATAGATTTTTTCCAGTTGCTTTAAATTTTTGCCTTTTTAATGTATTTTCATCAAAATCCTCAAATCTTTCCATTATGCCATTACTTTGATTTCAGATTTACTTACCAAAATACCTTTACTTTGTAATTCCACCTGTGAGCTCTTCTTACCAGTTTCATGTTCTCAGGAGCTGTCCTGTAGCATCAGATCGTTGTGAGGGATTCTGTTGTTCCACGTATTCTTCCAGGTTACATACTTTGCTTCTTCTGAGTTGTGACAGCACGTTCACCCAGGCGTGTGCCGTTCCTCGTGCATTTGTTGGCCACGCATTGGCTCTGCTCTTGCTCTGACACACCTGACTCTTTCCCACTACATCCAAGACCAGCTTGGGTTCCCTTCTGAGAGCACGAGGCTGTGGTCTTTGGTCTCCTGAAATGTTGTAAACTGTACCTTACCAAAGGTTCCTTCCTCCCGGTTGAAACTGAGATTTCCACCATTGTTACGGATATTTTTTTCCCAATTGTCTGTGCCCTCAGAGCCTTCATCTCTGTCAGCTCTAGTATTTGTGGGATTCCCCATCAGCTGTTTATACTAGTCCCGTCAGAAGAAACACACTCAATTTGCTTCTTTGCAGATGAAGATTCTGTACATCAGCCTGGCCTGTGGGGGAGGGCAGGTGGGCAACAGTGCTGCTGCCCCTCTCTGGTTTTCCACAGCCCGGGTGCAGGCAGGGGCCACACGGGCTGCTGTGCAGGCTCACCGGACGGGCCTCTTCAGTGAAGGAAGGAAACACCTGGCAGAGCAGGGGCCAGGCTGGCACTGGGATGTGATATCACAAACGTGAGGTTTAGGTGTAAAAGTGATCTAAAAGGTAGTGGTTCCTTCCGTGCTTTTACTGTTTTGAGTTTTAGGCAAAGGACTCTGAAGGGCTAACATCAGTGATGAATCTGAACCGAACCTCTGCCAGAATGTTAATTACTCCATGGATTCATAGACTGTTGAGCTGTGAAGAGGTTTTGAGAAATAGATGGAGGCCAGGATGTGCCGAGATTGGGTGGGAATCTGGGCCACCAAGCAGTGGTGCATTTCCAGCAATTGCCCTAAACTGCTGAAATTTCTTGTTGTCAAAGATCCTAGAATGTGAGGCAGAAAAGTCAGGATACTTAGTCCCTTGGTTCCCAGCCTTTGAGTTAGAATCCCCTCCTCTGTTAATGAGGGTCGAGTATCAGCAGTTTTCGGAGGTCCAAGATGGCGGCAGCACAGGACAATGCTGAACCTACCCCCTTCCCTGAGCAAACACAAATATACAAGAGTGGTTACTCCTGAGAGACAATTGAGGGCTGATTGAATAGCTTCTGACCAGCAAACGAGAAAAAGAAACCAATCAGAGAGGCTAGAAAACTGCAAGAACCATCAAGGAGCTGTGGGAACTCTCCTGGCTAGAGGAGCTGGTGAACCCCCTTGTTTGTGCTCCCTCCACTTCAGTAAAGCTGTGCTTTGGCCACCTGCAGGAGCTCTGCACCAGCTACATTGCCTGGAGCCTTTCGCCTCCAAAGGGAACAAGCAAGCACAACAGGGTGTTAGCAGACACACCTGGCCTTCCTGCTGAGAGCCGTTCCATCCTGAACGGCTCTGAACGGGACCTGTCAGAATGGCTATCATCAATAAATCAACAAACAACAAGGGAACCCTCTTCACTGTTAGTCACATTTTAAATTGGTGCAGCCGTTATGGGTAGCAGTATGTAGATTCCTCAAAAAATTAAAAATAGAGCTGCTATACAATCCAGACTTCCAGCAAAGTCACTAATTCAAAAAATTATATTCACACTACATTCATTGCAGCGTGACTAGTAATAGCCAAGATATGGAAGCAACCTAGTGTCCTTCAATAGGTAGTATATACAACGGAGTATTATTCAGCAATAGAGAACAAAATCTTGCCGTTTGCAACTGAATGAACGGACCTAGAGGATATTGGGCCTAAGTGAAACATCTCAGACAGAAAAAGACAAGTGGTATATGATTTCAGTTATACGTGGAATATAATAAAACTAATGAATAAACTAAACCCAAAGGACTTATAGAGACCAAGTTGATGATTGCCAGTGGGCAGGAGGGTGAGGTGATGGGAAAATAAATAAAATTAAGAAAAAAATAGCAGCAGTTTTTCTACTTCATTAGAGGTCTGAAACATTGACGGGGAGCAAGGAGCAAGAGAAGGCTACAGGTGAGGGAATGTGTATGAAAGGTAGGCCCGCCAGGCGCTGGAATAGTCCCTTTCCCGGGTGGGACAAGGCAGAAGGTGCCATCTCCAGAACTCTTCAGTGAGATGAGGGTTTAGCAGTCACAGAAGGGAAGTCAGCAGCAGCAGGCTGTAAGAATTCTCTTTGTGTATAGAGCAAGGCAAATTATTTATTTTACTTACTTTACATTCTTAGTATACAATAAAAATTTTTAAACAAGGGGAAGAACTAATGTGTGTGTCCTTTCCTTTCAGATGATCATTTATTGTGATGTTAAAGAATTCAAGGTCGCGGTAAATGGTGTTCACTGCCTGGAGTACAAACACAGATTTAAAGAGCTTAGCAATATCGACATGCTGGAAATTGATGGCGATATCCACTTGCTGGAAGTAAGGAGCTGGTAGCTGGCATGACTGCAACAAAAACTAAAATACAGAATGGCTGATATGACACTGGCCTTGTACAATGCATCGCACGATCATATTGTCTATATATTGTAAAAATGAGCTCATACAACGTTAGTCCTGCTGGGTGTTCTCAGTCATGCAGTTGGGGCTTTGTCTAGCACGGGAGGAGGGTATTCCAGGCAACAGCACCTGACCCATTACTCAGGCCTTGCCGCTCTCTTCCCCACCCAGTCTCTCGGTTATAACCCACTTCACATTCAGGAAGTACTTGTGAGGTGCCTACTCTACTACAGTAGCTAACACGCATTGAGCACTTACCTTTGTCAGCACTGCACTGGGAGCTGGGGACGTACATACGGTGGTGCCCAAAACCATGTTCCCCATACTCTTGAGCTTGGAATCTTCTGTGCTCTGCTCTCGTGCCACTGTTTCTTCAGCAGGCTAGCATAACCTCACCAGGGACTTGGAATTACTCAGTTACTAATTCACCTAAAGACTAATTTATAGAGGACACCACTCCTGTCCTGGTGGCCACATTATTAAGGAGGCTTCTTTCCTGTCCCCATAGATGAGGAGTTGATACTAATATCTGGCAGTTTCCTTTAGCACAATAAACATCTAGCTCTGCTAGCTATAAGCATTACCAAAGAATGAACACTGAAATCTGAACACAGCACAAAGATTAATGCAAAAAAACAAAATAAAGCCCCAACAACAACAAAAACAAGCAAAACCAACAAAAACAAATGGTGCAGATGGTGTTGAAATTAACTTGATGTGTATCACAAGGCCATTGACTTCTGTACCAGTGAGTGATTATTTTAGAATGTATGAATTTAGGGTGTCCAAGGTCTGCACATACCTCTATAGAGAGTTTAAGGTAGAAACAAGAGGAATTCGATTTGCAAATGTTTATGGGTAACAAAGCGAAATCAAGCGTTGATTTAATGAGTACTTATGAAATAGGCACTATCAGAAAGTAAAATACACCAACCGAGACCAAAGTAGAGAGAGGCAACATAAACACCTGTTGATTCTCCACATGCAAAGCAGCACTGCCTCTCCACTGTTCTAAAGATTAGTCCACGGTCATTAGCCTGGGATCAAAACATTGTTCTACTTTAAGTGATTAAAATCAAACTTGTATCAGCAAGCTAAATTGTTGCATTTCTGTAATTTTTTTCTGTTATTCTTTGAAGCGAGTTGGCAGAAGTTCTTTGCAGAATTCTTACAGGTCAGATCTTGTTACAGGAAATTTCAAAGGCCTGGGAGTGGGGAGGTAAAAAGCCAAGGCAGCCAGATCATTCTGTCACATTAGCTTGCTGGGCTGGACTCTGCCAGGCTTTAGGAGTATTTTCTTAATAGATGTTGGTTATTTTTTGTGTCCATATACTGAAAAGAATACTAGTACCATTTTAAAAGTTCTCAGTGGTAGGAACTTCTAGCACTTCTTTCCTACCTTTTCATGTTAATTTATTATTCTGAGTCTTTCCAAGCTCAAAAAACCATTGATAGGGTGGGGAGGGGCCGTGTTTGGGAAAGTTATAGAAGGGGAAGGCTCTAGAATCCCTCAGGGTTATTCTTTTTTTCCTAAAAGAACATCAGATTGCATGACTGAGATTTCCCTCTAAGTCTTAAACATAGTTCATTTTCATTTTTGTTTTACATGGAGATTGTAAAACAAAAGACTGATTCTTTGATAGAATAAATAACACAGTCTTAAAATACTTTTGAAGTGAAGCTGTTAGCATGTATGACTGAATCTTACTGAAATGTTTTTTAAAGAGAAATAGGCGTGTGTCTAAACTGTAAGACAGCCCTTTGTTTCTGTCACAACTCGGTGCTGAATTTTATTAAAGTAGACTCGATTTCAAACTCAGATTGAACCTTCTATGGGACAGCTCCTAGATGCCTTAAATTTCCAAAAGGCAGAAATAATAAATAGTTATAAAATACAGACAGAGTTCATTTAAATTGAACCTCACCTTTCAGCTTCACCATGATACAGTATACAGATTAGAGAACTTCAAACCTTTGGGAAAAATCTGTCCTGTACTTTCTTACACAAGTAATTCTTGGTTAACCACCAACAGAAAAGTTAACCTGGGCGCGGCTCCTTCATGCCACCTAGCGTCCTGGGCCCTTCCTGCCTGTGGGATCAGTCAGGTGTGCGCTGACAGTTCAAACCTCTGGCCGTCTCCCCCAGAATTTCCCCCTCCCCCCACCACCAAGGCAGCACTGTTTTTCACCCAGAATTTTTGTAAATCCGATTGAAGAGTACAGTTACTCTGAAAGGAGGAAATGCCTGTGTGTGCCAGTATTCGGAGACAATGCAGAGCTGTGCCCAAGAGCCTCAAAAGCCTGTAAGTTCCTTTAAAAATAAACCTGCTTTATTACACCTGAAGATGAACATGCAAGTGAATGAGTTGCTCTAGTTCTGGAATGATACCGACCTCATTCCACCTGGGACTGTAAGTAGGGTGCGTGTTGTTGGGGCTGAATACGCAGGCAAAACCAACCCGCAGAACCCCACCCCTTTCTGATGATGCCACAGCCCCGGTGAGACCAGGGAACAGGGCCTCAATCCAGCGTATTCGCAAGGAGTTACTCTGGAATACTCTGAAAGAAATGATCACTTGTTGCTTGTCCAGCCCTCCTGGAGCCTGCCTGCCTAGAGCCATTGTCAGTTGGCACCCTGGCGGGGTCAGCTGTCACCTAATCCCCAGTAGTGCAGCCCCTTAGGCTGGGAGAAGGGAAACAGGAGGGGAAGGAGGGAGGAGGTGGGCACCATCCAATGTTCAGGGCCGTCGCATGCTCTCGGCCCCTCTGAGGTCCAGCTGGCATTCCCTGCCCTCTGTTCCATCCACCAGCAGTTGCTTAGGGCCTCGTGCTTCCCACACGGTGCTGGCCAGTAGGGATGTGAAGATGTATCAGGTGTGGACCTGGCCTTCAAGGGGAGACTTACAGTAAAGAAGATGCCACCGACTGGGAACCAGAGGAAGAGGAAGAAGTAAGAACCGAGTCTGGTGGGAGTGAGGAGGGTTTGGGGGGCACCTTTCCAGGGTGTTCCTGTTTGCTCTGCCCTCTGTCAGGGCCTGTGAGGACTCAAATCCCTGGGGTCTTCCAGGGGCCTTGCGTCAGGGTCTGAACAGTTCCTGGGGCACTTCCTGGCCCCAGTTCCTGGGGTGCAGTTGGACAGGCCCAAGTTTGTGGAGACAGGTTCTCACGGGGCACTCTCTCCCCCTTGACGTGAGACCGCGTGTGCTGCAGGGTGTGCTCGTCTTGTCCCATTTCCTGCCTCGATGTCCAGACCGGGTTAACTTCTGGCTGTCCCACTCCACGATATTCTAGTCCTCTCACCTGTAAGCTGGGGGTGGAGCCTCAGGGTTAATGAGGTGTTAAAGAAGTGCACTAAATAGTAGGAGTTAGCATGCAGAGGGGCTTGGAAAACTGGAGTCGGAACAACAGAGTACATTTTGGAGGGAATTACCTGAAAGTCTTGTGATTGGGTCTTGAAATAAGCCTCCTCTCCTTAGCAACATGACCTGAGCAAGGGTTTTCTTCTCCGGTAAAATCTGTTTCGTGCCCCAGACACCTGAACATCACGTAAACGTTGCCTCCATTGCTCAGGATGCAGCTGCTGGGATGGCGGGTAAGAGGTCTGCTCACCTGTCTGACTAGCAGGTCAGAGCACACCTGGGATGTCCTCCACTATCACAGGGCAGATGGGAGGGGACCAAGTGGCCTCAGTTCATTTGGTGGAGGGTGCTGGACAAGCTGGGGGAGGGGCTGGCTCGGAGAGAATTTGGGACATCAGGAGACTATCTTTGGAGACACAGCTGTCTGTCATACAAGAGAGAGGTGACGTGGACACCCCTGAGAAGCCAGTTTTGGCCCCTCCCCAGGGACGTCCTGCAGATCCACGGTGCTGCCAGAGCTTCCTGCATAGTCGGGTGACTGGATAGTGTGGTCCTTCCTTTCCTGCTCAGCCCTGTGTTTCTACAAACTCCATGCCGTGCCTGCTCGTACACGTTGCAGGTGGTGATGTGAACGTGAGTGGGAGGAAGCTTGTCTGGCCAGCCTTTAAAGCCAAATGAAATGAATGGACAAAAGCAATGCCATGTGAGCAAAATCAAGTCCCCAACCCCATGGGGTTGGTTTGTGGTTCACCACTCCCTTGAAACCACATTGTTTCTCATTAATTTCTGAAAATCCTTTTTAAAATGTGAAAACAAATGACTGCCAGAATCCCAGAACTGTGGAAAGTGTGTTGAGTGGGTCACTCAGTACTTCAATCCTTTGGTTGCTGCCTCTGTCAGAATTGCCAAGTTGCTTTCATGTGAAATTGGTGACACTGGGAAGAACTTAGAAATTTGGAGTTTCTATGTGAATTTTCCATTTGCTGTGGAAAGAAGAGTCAAGAAGGAATCTTGCTTTCTGAGTTTAGTTGTGACAGACACCGGGCAGGACCTGAGCTCAGATAGAATGGCGCCAGGACCAGATCTACGTAGACTCCCACAGCCGTGTGAGTTACAGAGCCCAGATCATTCACCCAAAGAATGAGTCAGCTGTGTGTAGGGAAGAGTCACTAAAAGACACAGAATTAGTCATCAGGGCGTTTTTGGAAATCCTCTGTAGCTTTTTGAAAATCAGGTTAATTTGAGAGTGTACAGAACAAGACTAAGGAGAATAAAATCCCGGGCTCTTCCCTGGTCTCTCAGACAAGCACGTGTGTAGGGCGGAGACACCTGAGTTGCTAGAGGCCCCGAGACCCGCGCAGACGGCAGCCTGGTGGCATCTGGGCTGTGCTTCCCAGTTTCCGGAGCCGTCTTCAGGCTGCTTCAGGGTGGTGGTCCTGGTCTTCTGGGCACAGGCATCTCTATGTGCCCCGTTTTGCAGGCAAGAAGACAGGTTCAGAAGAATGCTGCCTTATAGGCAGCATATATATGATTCTTGTTTTCTTATCCATTCAGGTACCGTGTCTTTTGATTGGAGTATTTAAGCCATTTACCTTTAAAGTGATTATTGATAGGTGCATATTTATTGCCATTGTATTTGTTTAACTATGTTTCCTCTGCTTTTTTTAATCTTCTTAAAGCAGACTTTTAACAGTTCTTATAATACTGGTTTTGTGGTAACAAACTCCTTTAGCTTTTTCTTGTTTGGAGAGCTCTTTATTTCTTTGGATTTATTGTTTCTTAAAAATTTAATTCATTAATTTTAAAGAGAGAATAAGTGAGAAAGAAAGAGAGCAGAACAGTGACTTGTTTGAACCATCTCTACACTTACTGGTTGATTCCTGTATGTGCCCCAACTGGTTTTGAACCCTCAGCCCTGGTACACTGGGACTACATTCCAACCAACTGAGCCATTGGGCCAGAGTTCCTTCAGTTTTAAATGATGGCCTCGCTGGGTAGAGTAGTCTTGGTCGTAGGTCCTTGCTTTTCATTGCTTTGAATATTTTGTGCCAATTTCTTCTGGGTGCCCCAGGAACATCCCTTGTAGGGCTGTGTGTGCCCTGTTGTTGTAATTGAGTATTGATTGCTATTGGCGCATTCGTGTGTGGGGTCGGTCCTTAGGCTGGCTGACTGTGAGGCCCAACAGCAACCACAACGTACGACCTGCTGGGCAGGCACTGACCATGTGGAGTGGCATTTGCCTCAGTGAAGTCGGGCACCGGTCGGGATTCCCCGTTGGATATGCTTCTTTTGAAGTTAATTGGATCTCGCTCTGATGTTGTCCAAAGCTTGCCACTTGTGGGGTTGGGTCTGGGCTTCTTGAGAGGGACAGCCCATGCCAGATGCTTCCCACGACTGGCACTTGGCGACCTGCTGCAAGCTACAGAGCAGTCCACAGTTTGTGGCTGCCCTTCTGGGCCCGAGCGAGCACAGAAAGTTCCAAGAAGTGCACTGTGGCTGCTTCTACCAGCACCAGGCCCTGGGGCAGCTCAGCAAATGTCCCAAGGTACCGCGAGACCCACCTCCGCATGCCTCCACCTGTTAGGCTCAGTCACTGAGAGCGCCTCTGGCAGCACTCGAGTTGCATGAGGTAGGTTCTCAGTGAGTGACCGGGGAGGGGCGAGTGGTGACCTCCAGACTGCCACAGGTTGAACTCATGTCAGTGCTGAGTCTGAGGCCCCTCTGCCCATGTCCCAGGTAACCGGGTCCAGCTGCCCCCCCGTCTGGGTGCCCACGCATCTTTGAGCAGTGTGAAAGGCACCCAGACCTGGCTTCCCCTGTACGAGTGGAATTAAAATGTTGAGACAGGTGACATTCCAGGACTTAAGGTGTCCAGGATCTGCGGTCTGAGATCAGCCGGGTGAGCTCCAGGGCTCCGCAGAGGGCCCTGGGCTCTCAGGGCCGGGGAGCTGCCCCTGCTGCGGGCGGTCCATGGGTCCTCTGGGCTGCGGCGAGGGAACCTGGTGGGCTCATGCTTTGTGCTGCTGCGGCCCCGTCACCAGGTCGTGAAGACTTCAGACCCCTCGTGTGCGGCTCATCATCCTAGCAGACGCCTCCCTCCGTTTCTTTCCTAACTCAGCTGCAGTTCTGTGAGACGTCGACCAGACGCATGTTCACTGGCTGCTGGGACAGCACCGTCTCAGCCTCATGCCCCAGCTGGGAGGGCCGGGGGCAGGGGCGCGTGAAGGTTTCTCAGGCGGGTGGGAAATGCTATGAGAACCTTGAGGTGTAAAAAACACTCCGTGTGCCTGCGTGTCTACTCCCACACT